GGCATTGTGGCGTAGTGGTTACCTTGTCGAAACCATATGCTGCAGTTTCATGTTTCGAGTCCTTCTGGGGGTGTTGATAAGACCTAGGCGAGGTTAAAACTGCAGTCCACCCTGGGTGAGAATCACTTATTTGGAAACAAGGCTGTGAAATTAAATCAAAACGCCAGGTTTACTTATATTATTGTGGGAAAATTCAACTACCTGTTTCCTTATCACCCCAAACGAACTAGGATAAATAAATCTCGTATAAAAGGTAGTTGAAATTGTTATAAATATTTTCGCATCCTGCTGTCATCCCTTTTTGATTTTCTTTTTAACTTTTACATCCCGTTTCTTTTTCTTGTCATCTATCGGTCGTTTGTATCAGAGATGTGAAGCCCTCTAACATCTTAGTGAAGCAAAATGGTGAGGTGAAGTTGTGTGATTTTGGTGTAAGCGGCCAATTAATAGACTCGCTGGCAAACTCATTCGTTGGTACTCGCAGCTACATGGCACCCGAGCGGCTAACAGGGAAACAATATAATATTCTTAGCGATGTCTGGAGCGTTGGGCTGTCACTAGTAGAGTTATGTACTGGGCGCTATCCCATTCCGGCTATCGAAGATGATCGCCTCTATCTGACTGCATTCAGCGAGGATCGAGCGACAAACCTGAAGCAACACTTGGATTCTTCCACGCAAGGCTTGCCCCTGCCACGTAGGTTTTATTATCTCGCTCTTCCTTCTCTTCATCGCTAACTATTACCATCAAATTCTCCCACCTAACTTTTTCTCATTTATTTGCTTCTATTTTCCCTTAATCCCTTTTTCTTAGCCGTGGCCGGTGGTGAGACTGTCTCAATGGCTATCTTTGAATTGCTATCATACATCGTTGACCAGCCACCACCTACATTGCCGAGGTTCTGTTTCTCTGATGACTTTGTTGACCTTGTCGATGCTTGTCTCCGGCGCACTTCCAATGACAGACCGTCGCTCGAGAGTTTACTAGCTCATCCATTCGTCCGGTCAGTGGCAGGGACATTTCCCCAGGGTTTACTAGATCGACGTGTCAGTTTAAATTCAGCTGGGTCTCGATATGAAGCATCAGATATAATATTAATTGAGCCTACACCATCCACCCCTAGCTTGGATATCGAAGTGATCAATGTTGGCCGCTACCTATCTTCCGTGTTACCGCCGCTGGCCGGGGAAGAGTCCAACTCGACAAGTGGGTCTGCCACTGCTGTGTCGAATAGCAGCCTCGTAGCCTCTAATGGTGGTGTTGCTGGCCTGGCAAATGACTGAGTCTAATACGCTCCTATCTATTTCATGTAAATGTGCCTCCTCTTGCCAGGCCTCGATGAAGGAAATATAGATGAAAAATAATTATATGTAAGAATTGAAAGGTAAATCAAAATTGGGATAGAAATATTTATCTACAGAATAAACATTTATCGATTTCAGCCAATAAACAATTAATTACTAATCAAAGGGTCTCATTTCCTATCCATCATACTCAGCGCTTACTATTGCCTCAATCTTCGGCGTTCACAATTCGATATAAGATAAAGCAATACAAATTATTCTGGTTAGTCAGTTTTGTAGGCTTTGCTACTTCATATATTGTCCATATCCCTACTTTGACATTAAAATGCTTTGTTTCGTAGATGTTTCTGAGCCTCATAATACTGAAAGTATATGAAATCTTTGCTGAGTACATGCAATTGGTATCACCAGTCTCACTATTTTCATTACTTGTCCTTAATAACTTAGACAATGACGGAAATAAAGACCTTTCAAAGTCTATTCGGTCCTAACCACAATGCTTTCTTTATTTAAGTTTATTTAATAATTTCATTTTTATTTCTACAATTACATACTCGTCTCAGATGTGCCATTTCTTCCCTTATCATGCTACCTGCTTTTGATATAGATATTCTGTGTGATGCTTATATCTGAGTGTGCCTTGTACATGAACTCCCGCTTTCATCTCCAGTATCAGCTATACGAACTTTAGACCTAAACTTTATTCCTCTATTTGGTCTTGTTATCTTTATTATTTCTATCGCCTCGAGTTTTTAAAGCAATTCTCAACTTAACGATTTCGACGACTTCCTTGCCATCAGAAAATACTTCCAACTGCATTGCTCTATGTACATTTATCCTTTTATATATCTGCTTGTATTGGTTTTTAATGCATATCTTTTAAGAGCCTTAGAGACTGTGAAATTTGACCCTCTATTCACCACTTCATAATTTAGTTAGTTATTTGTCCGTGCTTGTTCACGTATGCGCACGATTAACAAATACTTACACAAACACGCAGTGGCGCACTTACACAAAACGTCAAAATTGCATGCACATTCACTCAGAGCCTTAGTGTAACACGACCTTGGATTCGCTCCAAAATTAATTTAATCATCTGCAGCTTGTTTATTGATTGTAGATTCCGCTGTCTATCATGATCTGTCTATTTCATACTACACCTGATTCTTTCACTCCTAGTTTGACGCCCACCACTTTTATTTATTACATCCATACTTCTTTTCTCAGTTCCCGTTACTTTTATATAAAAAATTATTTATTTATATTCACAATTTGATTTTTCCACCAAGAATTCCTGTACACAATCCTATGTAATCGCACCTATATTTATATTGCTTTGTGTAAACTATTTTGTTGGAATTTTTCCATAAACTTCATATCATACCAAGATTATATGTTTCCGAGGCTGCTGGAGTGACAATGTTAAGTTTTATGAATGGCGCTCAGCGTAAACAGGGTCATTTTCTCACATCCACGCGCAGATGTACACTCGGATACAGCACACTCACGGCTAATGACCATTCCGTAATTTTCGCCTTACTCAAAGGCTCAGAATATATTTAGGTCACATGGAAGCACATCTACATATTCTTCGATAAATCACATTTAGAGACGAGCAATAATTGTCCTCTTGCTGACATTGCTTGCATTATATCATGTCTCAGAATTTATTTCCTTTCTCAAAAAGTATTTCATATAAAATCTGATTGCAAGTTATTTCTCTCCTTTTACAAGTCTATGCAGTTAAGCATTGCTGAAATATTGTCATGTTTATCCTGTCTTCAAACGATAGTGATGATGGGATGGTACACTTAGCATTCGTTTGTATTTAAGTTTAAATATCTATCAGCCTACCTCATGGTATATGTATATAAATGCATATTCAGACAGTTGAATAGCTTTAGAAATTCCAAGATGAGAATATCCTATAATTCTCATAACCGATTACCGCATCAGTAAATCTTACACACCTGGTTTCTTATTGTTACTTTAAATGGCAGCTGCAACCTTGGTCATGTCAGAACTTTTTTTCTTAAGATATTATCGCTGCTAAGTCCGGGAAGCAGATTTCCTCCTGGATGAGGGGACATGGTTTCTATTGTAATTAATTTACGGCCATGCTAGGTGTTCGTCGCATGACCTGTTTTATTTAAAGGACTTCGTCACCATAGGTCGCTTAAACTTATTTAGGATCTGATAGTTGAGCTATCCCATAACTATACAAGTAGACCACACACCAGTTGATTTTGCTTAGCATTGCCACCCATAAGACTCCCTTGTCCAGGCTCGCAGATTTCATCCGCACTATCGAATGTATTCGATACTGGGCCCTTAGCTTGATCTCGTGAGATAAATGCGAGGCCAAAACTGCAGCCCATACTGTACGAAAGTGCGTACTGGGAGCTTCATCGTGTTTCGTATCATATTGAGACCTATATGATCATGGGAATTTAACGATCAGTTCATAAATTACCTTTATTTAATTAGCTAAACAGATTTCTTATTCGTTAATTACTCAATCTCGAAACTCACTGGTGTATAATTTGTTTTTTTATGCAATCTACATTTAGGAAACACTGTTGGTGAACCATCTCAAAACTATATCCGATATCTAAACATCCACGAAGATCCAGAGTTATTTCATCCCAAAGGCCCCATCATTCGTTGTTCACCCAATTTACCCGGAGTATTGGGAATTTCTGGCGCATCAACCAAGTATCTTAATCGAAGGTATAAAGACCAAGATGGTGTGGCCTTTTGTGTGGTCGCAGTCTCCTTTCGTTGAATA